GATAAATAACGACAAGTCCCTAATGACCACAATGACACTCCTTTTTTGAATGCCCCCAATTTACTCTATTTCGAAAACAAATACTCCATCATTTTTATGTTCGACCGTTTTCATCGTTGTCCACGACCATTGTGTACGTGGAGCCTGAGTGTGTTCAAAAAGCACTCTTCCTGAACTTATTTTAAAACTAGTGCCATTCTTCATAATTCTCAAAACATCTTTTTCGCTATTGTTGGAGAAAGGCAGTTGCTATGGTTACCCCTTTTAACACGTCCCTGTGAAAAGCAAAGGATAAAATATTCTTTTGGGACAGACTTGGTGTGAAGATAATCAAACTTGTTCACAAGTTTCCTTACAGAAAAATCCTGCAACAAGAATGAATTTTTAATTTCTCATCAAGGGCTCCTGGCTTAACATAATTTTTCAAAACCAGAGTTCTTTGAATAATTTGCTATTTAATAGTAATAGTAATAGCAATCAAAGTTTAATGTCTTTACGTGGGGCATGGTTACCCATATTGCCCGAGCCAGAGGTTCATGTATGAAACGCAAGACAACAACCCACCCATCCCACCCCTGGGGAGGAGATCCATCACACAGTAATCTCGTGCGTGGGAAATTAACGTCTCCTACCCCTGCAGGAGACGGGACCTCCATTTATTCGTCCCTATCTGAGAAGACTAGAATATCTAAACCCTTTCTTGATGTTATAGAAAGGCAGCATATTCTTCTCAATTATTTTAAGACCTTGAGTGTTGGTCCGGCCGGGGCTCCACATCAGTCCAGCGCTCTATCCATTGAGCTAACCGGGAGGCGGTTATGAAGCATTACTCCGTATTTATCCGCTCTACGTGAGAGACATTTTCCAATTTTAGAAATGGAGAAAACAATTCTTTTTATTTATGCAAAGATTCTTTTGAAGGTCGGATTTATGAAAGTGCTTCAGCTTTTAGTGGAAAGCTTCCCCAATTTCAAGCCTTTCTGAACATCTAGAACAACAAATCGTTAGAAACAGTATTTATGGATGAATTAACAGCTTTTTTAACCGGTGGATGAGATAACAAGTGACAAATTGATCTTCGTGAGTAAAGCCATTAAAAATCAAAGGCTCCTTAGAGCAACCTCATGGTATGAATTTTTGGCGCCCTTGACGTAACCCGCGATCTGGCTTTCTTAACTTTGGAAAGAGTTTTTGATCGTGGGCAACACGGGCTGGCACAATTATTGTGTTTGTAAGCGTTTTGATGGAGAAAAATTGTCTTAAATTGCGAATGTGTGAAGAATTAGTTAAGATACCGGCAGCTACAAGATAAAATCAACGAAGTTTCATGCTTACCAATTTGCAGTACACTTAATTAAGCTCACTTCATATTCGCGGTGTTTGGGTCTTCACGCACGAATCATTCAGGTTATCGTCTCTTTTAGGACTCAGGCACCCATTTCTCTGCATTCGAGTATTCTGTAGCATATTTCCTTTCCATTTTTGGCTCCACATAGGTATGTTTTGATCAAGTTTGGAATAAAAAAAACCATCACGCTTCAAGGGACAGGACGCCATTTTGAATCTGTCCAAGTAGGGTAGTTCGGCATATTCTCGCCTTTGTACCACCCCCCAAATATATGTACACCATGACTTGAAACAGGGAAATTTGTCGGGGAGGTGGAGAAAAAGTGTTTAATCCAGGTTTAATGCATAAATTAATGTCTAATGAAGTGAGTGAGTGATTTTTAATTGAATCTCGCCCCCAAACCCTAAACCTCATAGCTTGACTTGCGTCATACCATGAGGTAAAAAAAAAAAAAAAGATGAAAAACATCTGAATAAATCAGTAGGTTGAGGATGAACACTGAAGCACGCCCTTTACACTACTAGCAACTGTGTCGCCATAGTCCTCTAATTGGGAGCAACGATTTTGTAATGTTCGAACAGAGTCTAGTTGAACATGATCCTGGATCCAAAGTACGGCTCCCATTCCACAACACTTGTATTCAGTCCATGCAATCAAATTTCTTCATGTCTAAAATGTATCTGAGTAGACTAGCTCGTAGCCAATGGTCAACTCGATGGTAGTGCTGTATGTCGTTACCCCCGATGTAACTGACGTTGTCATTCCCTTCCTTGTCCCTTTTGTGGGAATTCTTTGCCTGTGACTTAGGGCTCAACTCGAGATTCAACGTCTACCGTAAGGTAAACTCTACAGACCTCTACATTGATAATATCGCAACTTTTACGCTGAGCGAAAAGGCAAAGACATTTTTTCAAAATTACCAGTGATCAGCAGCCTTATATTAACCGGCTAGAATTCAAAGGAGCATTTAAGTCAGTATTTATGTTGTAAAATGTTATTACATCTGGACGAGTTGTGTCGCATTTGAGGAGGATTTTTCTGTTCCTCTTCGGCGAAGAACACGTTTCCTTCCAAGTAATGTGACGAAGAATGCCTTCCTGAAGTCTTTATGCATGCAGGCGTATAAAATGGGATTTAAGACGGAGTTAGTGTAATGCATCCATTTTGCCATAATTATTGTTACTGCTGAGATGCATCCATTACAAAATCCATAAATCATATTTACAATAAAGGAAGGGCCCCAACAAACGACAAACGCGCCTATCACAACGGCTATCGTTTTCGCGGCACGCATCTCTGACGTTAAAAGAAATCTTTTCATGTTTACGTTCATCCTCAACGAGATTTGGCGCACTTGGAAGCGCACTGTCCTGAAGATGCAGGTATAAAATATACACATGACTGAAAGTGGTACGAAAAAACAGCTTATTACAACAGCAAGTTCGTATTTCGGGGAAGTGGGGGGCGCACTTCTTATAGGATAATCTTGAGCGAGGACATCAGAAAAGAAAATAACCAAATTGTGATTATCATAGTTATTGCCTTCTGTGAAGTCATCGTGGTCTGATAATCAAATGGATAAGCGATACAAAAGCACCTTTCGATGTTTATTGCGGTCAAGTTTGTGATAGAAGCCACCCCGCAGAGAATATCAATAAAAGTCTAGATTTTAAGGATATTTTTTTTAGTTTTGCCCCGAACATCGGATGGGCGGCCCATATCGGCATGGGTGTTATTGCCACTAAGATATCAGCTACGGCTAAAGATACCACGAAGTAATTTGTGACTGTCCAAATCTTGGGGTTCTTTGTAAAGGCGAGGATAACAAGTACATTTCCAAACAAGGTCAAGAACATGATCATAAACAAGAAACTAAATGAAAGAATATTCAGTGGGCCGTTTCGCTCACCAGTCATTGAGTTATTCAATTCTAGTTCCAGCTTAGACACGTTTGTTCGATTCCTCGCTTGGCCTTCCTTCATTAACAATTCCACGAGGACTTGCTACCTTCTCCAGCTTTTAATAGTCGAAAAATGATCATAGATTGTACGCAATTCATCTCTTTTTCGGGGGAGCAGATCGAAAACGATGGCTTGTCTTTTTTCCGAAGATTCTTACGAACTCATGGTGTGGTTTACAAAGGAGTAGGTAGGAGAAATGGTAGAGATTACAAAACGACGGTCTTAAATATGGAAATTTGATTTTACAATGGCTACCATTAAACCAATAAATACCATGTGAAAGGAATTCTGTCAGAGAAATTACAGAAACGATTAACATGACGGATCTGATTGGACGCTGAAATAAGACGCTAAGTAATTTTCAATCACAACAATCTCTGTTCAGAGTGCGGTCTGGACAATGAAAAAAACATAAAATTTTGTTGATCCCCTCCTTGGGACAATGAACGAACGAGAGAAGATGCGTTGGTGATCGTGATTGTTTTTTGTAGTATCTGTTTGCAGATATGAAGGCCATCAACCCCTGATTTAATGCTGCCCATCAAAACGAAAGGTCACTGTAACAATTCGCGTTGTGTGACACTGTTAATGAATTTGCATTGCGCAACCCGGAGATTTTCCTGGCAAATAATCTTTCACTGCCGCATGATTTTGTGGCTCCTGCGAGTCGCACAAATTCAATCTAGTTTTAATTTGTGTGATTATCATTGAGATCTCACGGATCAGAGATACTTGAAAGTTGGAAGGAGCACACTGGAAGGTACGTTTCGCCGACACCTGTTCCCAGATGTTTTGTGGTGCTCGAGTCTCACAGGCAACACAATTGTTGGCTGAACCGCATCCAGGAAGCCTGTCTTGTTTAGCCCCAATGAAAAATGAATAAAAAAAGAGTCTTGCGTTGCTAGGTTGTAGTTTGTAGATATCAGTTACAGAGATCAATTCATTATCATAAGAAAAAGAATTTTTGCTAAAGGCTGTTAAGAACAATTTCTTTTTTCAATTGTTCCACTTTACCCGAAGTATAGCGAGGATTGTCCAATCTTCTCGAGGAATGATTATCTGAATGCCGAAAAGACTGCAGCAATACAAATTTAGCAAATTGCAAAATCGACCTCGTTCTGTCAGTTAGAAACGTTTCATTTTTTTCCCTTTGGAGGAGTCTTTTGTTTTTGTATCTGTTATCTTTAACTGAAGCGAGCTAGGGGAGCGTGTACGCTAATCGATGATCTAGAACAAAAATCAAGCCTCCCTGTTATCATGATACTCGAGTTAAATTATCGTTTGCCAGCGAACGATTTTTAGAAATAAAATATTATGTCTTTTAAGAGACGTTGTTACCCATCAAGCTGACAATATCTTGTAACGAAACGATCTCTTTGCGTCGCGCTATTACAACCAATTTTGATGCCGCACAGTTATGAACGGGTAGGATTAGTTGCGTGTTGACCGCTGACTATTGCGCGCGGTATTTTGTTGACAAAGAAACGAAATGGCGCTGAAGTCCATTAGTTATGAACACTTGAATGCAGCGGTTTTACGAATGTTTGGACGTTTCAAAGCAATGAACTGTCTCAAGCGTAGTACATTCATGGATCGCAGACAAAGCAGTTCTCTGGAAAATAATCGAGTATTTGCGGGGTGAGCTGTTTTTATTCACTCGTAACTAAGTTTTATGTAATGAAGCAGGTTCTCTCATATGTTCGGCTTTTCCTGGTGTTTAAGAATCATAGTCCTTTAAATTCTCCTCTGCCAGGAGTAGAATTATTATAATAGGATTGATCAAATTAGATAAATGTCCAGGAAGAGAAAAGGTGGCTATATTCCTTGCTTTTTCCCAAAAGAGTGATTTAATTTAACATGCGAGACAACAGTGGAAGAAAAACAAATGAAATTTATGAGCAAAGGTGAGTTGACAGATTTAAAAGGAGGAGATACATTTGAATTTTTATGTCGTAGTTGTGTGGAAGCTGATTCACTGTCTTAGATTCACGTTAGCTAAGTAAGGTGAGATAAGTCTGGTCCAAAAAAAATTTTTTCTCCGAACGGGAAGCGGTTATATCAAAGAAATTATTGCTTTTATCATAATAACCTAGCAGTATATCGATTTTCAGAAGTTTACACCGACTGAGAGGATGCCATTGAACTGATACAGTTATGTCTTAGCTTTGCAGCGACTGTGGCAAAACAGTGGTATAGGTAGAAAACTGGGCTGATTATTCACACGAGGCCAAACCCAAACCGTGGTTTTAGGTAAACACTGGGCCTCTGAATTCACTATAATAGGATTGATCAAATTAGATAAATGTCCTTCCACTATTAGCTTTCGGTTCTCTTAACATTGGTCACAAATATAAAGGTTCAGAGAAAGGTTCGGCCCACTTGAAGATGGCTTAGAACACGGTTTTGTCAAACAACGGCTAAACTTTGTTTCAATAACCGGTCCGTGAAGTTTAGAAATGGAGGTATCTTATGTATATACTCAATACACAAGCACTCAAATTAGCCTGATCACCAACTAATGGTCTAATTCAACTAATGTAGGCCATAGGCTTACACTTACAGCAGAAACCGTATCATCTGTCCCATGTTGGAACCTTGTTGTAAGCACATGAAATGTTTTAAAGAGTTTTTCATTAGTGCACCCGACAAATTCAGCTCACTTAAGAGCATTCTTTAGCGTGTTTCCTTCTACCAAAAATAAACGAAATGTGTATAAGTGGCCTAGGTTTCTACGGTACTCCTGATAATATTTGGCAAGGTATCAAGCTTGCGGATGCAGGAGTTACAAATCAAATGTGATTTCCTAGGGTAAGTTCAGTCTGATCTGTGGTTGTTTCGGTTCTTCCTCTTGGTCTGCAACATCGTTTTCGTCCAAAAAGTATAATACAGAATGCCTTTCTGAATTCCTTGTTCATACACGCGTACACAATGGGGTTAAACACAGAGTTTGAGTAGTGCATCCATTTGGCTACCACCACGGATTGTTCTGTTACACAACTTTCACAAAATCCATAAACGATGTTTACAATGAAGAAAGGTCCCCAACTGATGACAAAAGCGCCCATTACGACGGCTAGCGTTTTTGCGGCGCGCATCTCCGACGCCAGAAGAAAGTTTTTGACGTTGCCGTTTATCATGAGCGCTATTTGACGCGCTTGAAAGCGCGCGGTCTTGAAAATAAATCTGTAGGATATACACATAATTAAAAGTGGCACAAAAAAGCAGCTGATAACTACCATTAGTTCGTATTTTGGTGGAGGCCACAGCCATAGGATAATCTTAAGAGAGGACATAACGATAGAAAATATCCAGATGACAATGATGGTAGTTATAGCCTTCGTTGACGTCATCGTGGTGTGATAATTAAGAGGATAAGTGATACAGAAGTACCTTTCGATGCTAATTGCGGTCAAGTTTATTATGGAAGCCACCCCGCAGAGAATATCCATAAATGTCCATACTTTTAGGAAAACCTCTTCGAGCTGCACCCCGGACATGAGATAAGCAGCCCATATCGGCATGGATACGAGGGCAACCAAGATATCAGCCACGGCTAAAGATACAACGAAGTAGTTAGTTACTGTGCGAATCTTAGTGTTCCTCTTGAAGGCGAGAATAACAAGTGCATTTCCGAATAAGGTCAGAGTCATAATAAGAAGCAAGCAGCTGAATGAAAGAATATTTAGAGGATCGTAGATGCCGCCAGTCACTGAATCATTCAGTTTTGCTCCTGGCTTGGTGCTGTTTGTATGATTCATGGCTTGCAATCTTAGTGCGGCTGTTAGCGATGCTACTGACGCTTGTAAATTGCTAAGTCTCTGCTTGCGGGTTTTCTAATTGAAAATCTCCGCTTATCCCCCACGGTTGACAGGAAATGGAGTATTATCTATTTCGATGGCAATATTGGACTAAAAGTGCTTTCCAGTTGACAGGGCAGTTGTTTGACGGGTACGTAACAAACGAAAAGATCTCACACCACGTCAGAAAGGATATGGAAGACTTTTGGTTCGCAACTACAGTTCCTCGGCGCAACAAAGAGCGTTCTTCCACAGTTTTCTTTTTGGGCTAAATATGCACTTTTTTTAAAATTTTTTCGACTTGATATCCTCAATACAGTCGGAAGTACTACCTGTGTAAATGAGAAAATCTGGATTAATAATATGAAATGACATCGGACCATTAAGCGTTATGTTAAATATATTTTGACGGCATTTAATTTCGAATCAGATAAAAGCTAAAGAGAAATGAGCTAATTTCCTTTCTAAAGCATTGAACAGGTCGGTCCACTAAGCAGAAGAAGCCATAAATTATCCAATTTTTGACGAATAACTTTAATCGTTTTGGCAACCCTAGCTCAATCAAGGCTGTAATGTCGCTGTTTATCTTAAAAGAAAGAAGATAAATGTTTACCACGGGACATGGTCATCTTCAAATGGTGGATACAAAACCATCTCCTTGCTTTTAACTCCCATTAGTCGAGGTTCATTTCGTAACTACCCATATTAATACAGGTGGAGATTTGAGAGGATTTAGTGAACAATGCAAATCGACCGCCAACTAATAACACTTAACGTGAAATGAGTTCGACGTTTACCGCCTCAGATACACTAGAGTTCATTAAGTGTATTGAGATTAAGATGCACTGCGAAAATGTGTCATATTTTAGAAATTTGTGGTCCTTTTGAATCTTTATCTTAACGAAAATTGAATTCGAAGATGTTTTTTGTTACAAATCGTGCAAAATGTACGCTTTCGTGCGATTTGAGTCCAGTTTGCGCCGCTAAGAATTAAAGTTATTTAAGTGCCTTTAAGAGCTTACGTTATTGTGAGTGTTATAAATTAGCACAAACGAAAATGCTTTCTTTTGACGGTTTTATTGCTGCAAATAATTAGATTCGTCGAGACCAGAGTGTGTCTGTATTTATGTATATGAAGTACATATACATAAATTTTACTTTATAATATTGTCAGTTAAAGTTAAATGTTTGGACCATCTTGCGGGGGTTACAAGGCTTTTATTTCATAGTAGTTTTTGTCGTGAAAATATTATAGAAGCCGCTGGAATTTTGGTCATTGTATGCAAATGTATTCTTTTATACCAATGTTGAACTGTTCATTTTGAAAAATAGTTTTCTCGGTTCTTTTTCAAGGGGCTTCAGCATTAAATTTACATTTCTATGATGGCGTTGCCCCGAGGAACAAAGGGATTTTCTGGAACAAAATGCGTTAGGAATAAAGAATAAGTTAAATGTCCGATTGCTCTTAGGTGCTTTATATACTTGCATTATCGGGTGCTGTAATTTAGTGGATTTCAGTGCTTTGGATGAATCATGAACAGCTTGAGTCTGGAAAAGTCAGTATTAAATGTGGTTTAACTCTCGCCGCAAGCGAAACTCATCTGTACATTATCTTTGTTCGAGTGAGGCTCATTCGCCCTTTAAAACATATAGACAGCCCGTTGCCTCCGATAGTGTGAAATGCACGTGGTAGCATTAAATGCACTCCTAGCATTAAAATAAGCTACAATCAACCTTTCATGCCACCCTTAGACTCTTTCTTAAGGGTTTTTGCTTGTGAACTGAAATATAAGCTTGCACGTTAATGCGTTTCTCCTCTTACTGCCCGATTCTAAAGCACATGGTCGAACTAGGGGTATTCCCACAGGGTAAGTAAACTGCCCAGTTTTGCTAGGCATAGTTAAAACAGTTGCCGTAAAAAAGGTGAAGAAACTTACACCATGGTTGTTGTACAATTTTTGAATTTCACGGAATCACGGCAAAAGTTTTGTTTTGCCAAGGGTACTTTGCTCTTTGCCAACATCACATTGTTAAAGTTTTTGTTCCTGTCGTTTTCTACTGTCGAAAAATGTATGTTAACAACACCACAGAGCATCAAATTTTATAAATTTTAGTCGTACTATTAACATCGCATCAAAGAGCCTGTTTTTGTTTCTATTCATTCGACTAAGTTTCTGAAGTATTAATGAATTAAAAAGACGTTCACTGAATGTACTTACCAATGTTCTGCGCAATCCTATTTTGAGCCGAGCCCTTCTGTTAGCTTACGTATTAGTTTGTTGTTAGACATGGTTTTATATTTTGGACTGAGCCAGCGCACCAGGAACATGTCGTGTATCTAACCAAATATTCCTCTTTTTCATAATCCAGACATTTAGCTATCGATCCCCAGAAATGCCTTTGTAATCTGCCTTAAGTATCTTGTAAACATGTTTGCAGCTTCAGTAAAATTGTCAGGGTTTCACGGAAAGCCGGTTGCCGGTGGTCAAGCGGCGCTTGTGAAAACCTCTCAATTTATTGCAAAACACATAAACCGTTTTATTTTTAAGCAAATTATATGATAAGAGAACTCACTGTGATAAATGTGATTGTCAACGAGCATAACTTATAATTTGAACTGGACTGAGTTCACATCCTTAGGGAGGTTAGATTTTTCCTATTGATACCATCCTCGTGACCAATACTATTATCAACGCGTTCTATTCAGTGACAGCTGGAAGAAACCACAGAGTGGGCAAAAGTTATCATCTATCCCCTACAATTACCAATTGCCTTTTGCCAAAACATAAAGCTATAAAATAAAGTGATAGTCCTAACGAAGGTGGAAATCGAAAAACAAAGTTACAAAGCCATTCATTATGGGTTTCAACAACATAAGCGGTTGCCGATCGAGGCTTAGATCGCTTGCGACGACGAGGCGAAACCCAAACACGAAGCCTGCTCGCAAGGTAAACAGACGGCGGTTGACCGCTTTTTATCGAAACCCCTGTTTCATGACAAAGTTTTATCTCCAGTCTGTTATACTATAAACTAAAGCTAGATCGAGGGGTAACCGACTGAGTTGTAAAATTGGTGTTTCTGTGTTGATTGTCTGTCTGTCGTTTTAAGAGTTAATGATACTAGCTTGAGGGGAAAAAAACGCTATTCTATATTCTCACTGACTAAAAGCCCACGTTACTTGATATTAGAAACACGCTGATCTGTGAATCAATAACTCTTTGGGGCACTTGTCTCTTTCTTCAGACAAAACATTTTATACTCCAAGGAATATTATACCGCCCATGCAAGAAAAAATACGTCTTTTTGTGTTAATACAAATTTTGAGTGGTGCCTCCCCATCAATACTACTTTGAGGCGACCGCTGTTAGTTTCTGGTCTTAGCAACTTTTTTTAAACGAAGAAATTTCTTACGGCGACGTCGTTTGAACATTGTTTCACATATTCTGCGAAGGTTAGCGATAAAGAGATGCTGCAGGTGGCACAGCCGTTAGCTGAGCTTTAAGAAAGTGCTCTCATTTGCAAATTATGGGTCAACCATAGCCATTTACTTGGTAAACGTTCTTGCAAAATTGAGAAAGCTGAGAGGAATTTCTCTTCACCTTGAGAGCCTGGCTGGAAAATATTTTGTTTTACCGAAAATTGAGCAACGGTTGACAATATATAAAAACTACACGTACACTTAAAACGCAACCAGACTTGCTTACCCTTAGCAGCTGAAACAGCCAGTTGTACACAATATTGTGTGAAGCGGACTGATCAGAATCTTCTACTTTGTACTTGAAGCTGGATGTCTCAGTGAGATCTGGAGGCAAAGTTTTCATCTCGCAAGTTTTGGAGGATAAATTCAATGAGATTTGATTAAAACAAAATTTTCCTTTTCAAGTAGCCTTCACAGTGGTACATTTTATCTACTGCTGCCAAATTAGTCTTGTTTTAAAAAAAATTATTGTCTTTCATTTAGTCTGAAGGTACAGGTATGATCTTCGTGAGCTCATTGTCATTTATATATTCTGTATTACAACCTCCAAACAATCGATGTGCATATTTTGTCAGTTTTTCCTTGTTCAGTGTGCTGCTTCCTCGCATCTCAAAGAAAAATATAATTTACATTTTTTGTTACACACCGAGGATAAAATAATAAAATTGTGAAAAAAAAAATGCTTCGGCAGAAACTGAATAGGTTAGTAATAAGCTACAAGTCTCCCCTTATAGGAATTATCCCTGTACTAACAAGAAAATAAATGCAACGCTTTTTAGAACGACTTGCCTATTTCTCTCTTTTCCTTTGCCTTCTCTTTCTTTTCAAAAGTGGAATGTATGGTTAAACGTCACAAGGCTCTAAATCCCGTAATTCTAAGGTCCTCTTTCCTCTTTCCGAAAAGGTTTATGCTATATAAATTTGCACTCAGTTGCATTTATTTCAGATTCGCAGATACTAACCAGGGGGATTTTGCTTCTTACAAATGAAACATTTGCATTTTTTCAGGGATCTCACATAACAGCATACATTAAGTTAATTTTTTTTTTTAAGATGGAAAATAACATTACCTTTCGCCTTGCTTCTATGCGACCAGGCTGTGAGGTACGCAAGAATTGGATGGGATTTAGGAAGGAAGTGCATAGAAAAAGAAAAATCCGATTATTCATGTTCTGTCCTGTCGCTTAATTTTCTCATTTGTCAGACGTTTTTTTTTTTCTGCACGTTAACTTTTGCGAAACTGTTTTTCACAGTGGCATACGACAGCCGGCCTCCTCTGAATTTGACAGAGGTGCCAAGGTTCCGGCCACTAAAATTAGGCCGTTTTTAACATCGTATTTTCTGGCTCCATCTTTGTCACCTGCGTCTAAAGAGGGAAAGGAATACTTTGCTATTTTTAACTATTAATTACTACCTTCAAACAACAACAAACATATGAAACATATGTGTGAGCTGCGGTTATGAGACTGCGGTTATGAGACTGCGGTTATGAGACTGCGGTTATTCACTATTGCTCAAATAGTACTGCGAAGGATCGTTCTCATATACGTAAATTACTACCTTCCTTGGTTTGTTTATGCGAAGAAGAATTTTAGCTATCATTGCTACCAATTCCCATTCTCCTGATGTTTTTATAAATAAAGTAAATATATGCTGTTATTTAAACATGACCGAATCTAGCTTTTAAAGGTACAGTCAGCGCGCTAGTGAGTTTGAATTCTGCTTGAATCAAATACTGCATTTTTATCCAGGAAAGATGATTGTTTTTTTTTTTAATTTTAACATCATTTTCAATTGTGTTAAGGGAAGCTTTCTTTCTTCTCAGACAGTTCCGAACTTTGTAAATTCTAGTTTATGAACGAAGAGAATTGGGTCGGCCGTCGTAGCCTTGTCGGTAATTATTTGCTCTGTCTCGATAAAGATCAAAAAAGAAGCACAATACATCTGGTCGCATGTTAATTTTCATAAGCACTTTGCTCTTGAACTCTTTTTAATTTATTGCTATATTACTCTTTTTAATTTATTGCTATCTTGCCGAGAGTTATTGCTGACCAGATTCCGTGTTTTGCTGTACATGGATCGTTATGCTGTAGAGTATGTGTTATCTAGACTAAAAATATATTCAGATGCACTAACTTGACTGACCGACCTAACTGTTTAAGGTTTCAGCGACTCAATTTGAACTTAGTTTGATCAATGTTAGCTGAATCAACAATGTTGTCTTAATAAATGGTGAATTAATCATTCCTTATCACAAATCTATGTATCTTTGACACTTTTACCACCTGTTTCCATCCTGAGCTGTTTTTGAATATTCTATGTAAACAGACTGCCGTGTATCCAAATATTCAGGTAACTGTTTTCATCATTCTTTTTTTCCTTTTAAAGAATGGAATCTCATAACCAAAGCATTTTGCAGTTTTTTTGAAAGAACCTATTTGGTTCTAGCTGTGTGCAGTTTTCTGTTGGTCAGTTAAACGAAGTTGTAAATATGTCCGCCAGCTCTAGTAGTTATGATAGTTTTTAAAAATAGTGATTAAGGAAACTGAACATTATCGTCTGCTCTGAACGGTTCCAAGGAATTTTTTCTTTTTTGGGTGGAGCTTTTATCTGTGTAAATGTACAAAAAATCAGTGTAGAAAAGAGAAGTACTTTTCAGTCTCTTTTTTTTTTTGTAGCGCTGTAACGCAAACATGTTAAATCTAGGCTGACTTGATCATCCTGCATTTCCAGAGGAGATGGAACAGGAATTTGTTGATTTTCCTCTAGATAAGACCTCCTCATGGTCGTGTTTTTATTTCGATTAGCCCGAATTCCTAGTTTCCTAATCAACATTTGAACAGGAAATTGAGAAATAAACCCTAAGCAGCGTAAAAAAGAGCAAAGAAACCCCTACATTGTCCACTATAACACGCCTTAGATTAGGATTAAAATGAATTTAGAATAGAAGATTAACTAATAAATTCCCATTGTGAATGGGGATTTCCCCGTTAATTTTCTCAGATTCAAGTTGTCGGTCAAACTTGCCAGCCCTGTGTATGTTTTGTTGCCATGCATCAAAACTAATGAAAAACTCGACCACAATGACGCCAACATAATTTGACGGTGGCTCTTTAAATGAAAGCCCAAGGACTTCCGAAACCTTAGTCAAAACTATTTCCATTCACTTGCTCCATTGATGCTTCGTTAAAGATCCATTGATGGTTCGTTAAAGATCCATTTTCTCTTTATGAGCGCGTCATTAATATATTAGACGACCTATTTGTTGTGGGCAGAAGCACCAAACAGAGGCTTCAAATTTACGCTTATGAGGAATAGTTCCAGAAACATGATGTATCAATGGAAAGCCGGCAACCTTTCCGCTAATTCTCACAATTGTATAAAATTTGATCAGAATCACATTCAGTTTCCATATGAGCTGTTCGCCAATTTCTGCAGTTAACTATTTTAGAAGGGCTGATTAAGATTCTCTCATCCAATATCAGATATTTTGAATAACGTAGTTTGCCTCGTTATTAAAAAAAAAACGGGACATTTCCTTTCCTTTCAATTTCAGCTGAATTATTCGCTGGTTCATTGTGAATTTCGCCTTTTCATGGTTCTTTAGAAGGTGGTGCAAAACAAGTGAGGTTTCCCCCAACAATGTTTTTGTTTTACATATTCGACCATGTGAATCAGTAACCACCGTTTTTTCACTTTGTTAACAGCATTCGAGCCTTAACTAGCGCTTTTTCTCACATTTTTAAAGCCACAGTCTTTTCTGCCATAACTTCAGGCCGTAATCAAACGCTGTCACAAAATCACATTAGGAATATTTGCATTAATTGCTTTTCTCGAGGCGTAATATTATTAAATTGCAATGCGTTTATACTCTTTTACAAATAAAGAATATTGCATGGCAGCTACCTCATCCTTTCTGTGAAAAATTATTCACTAAAAAATTTATACCACAGAATTTTCATGGTTTTAGTCATCCTTCTGTTGAGGAAGATTTGCCGATTTTGATAATTTCGAATTTCGCTTAAGCAAAGGCAAAAATTCGTCGAAATGTATTTTATAATTCCTGGCCAGAGAGTCTGCTTCTTAAGAATGAAAAGGACGTATTTCAAATTTAAAAAGAAGAAAAACGCTTGCTTTACCAATAGTTAAGACAATCAGTTTATAAGAGATCATGCTCTGTAACACTACTAAGTTGTCAAGCGATTCCTTTTTCAATACAAAGGTGAGAAAAACTTTTGGCCGTGCTTCTCTTGTAATTAAAGTAGAGAATTTCATTAAGTCGGAAGGGAAACACCTTTTTTTAAAAAGATTTTTGTCAATCGAAAGGCGTGTAACATAGTATTGACAGAAAAAACTTGGACTAAACTCAAGAGGACACTTTCGCTTACCTCGATCGAGGATACTTCTTTTTACTCGCCGGGTGATTGCAACACTCTTGATGGCGATTTTGCAAGTCGATACAGATCGAGAAAAACTGCTATGCAACAGACCAGGCTAAATGAATTTTATGATCGCACTACATCGATCCAATATTACACGAACAAGAGAAAAGGACAGGTGCTGACAACTTAAATACTACAAATAATTTGTGCAGTATTCATTGTTTATGAATCGATTATTCTTGGAAGACATCAAAGCGTCGAGCACAAAAGGGGATTTACATCAGTCAATTTCTAAGCGTTCATTTGCGGACCTTGAGTAGTGGTTCACGAAGTGCAAGCTTTTCAGCCATAATTGCTTAATGGACGAAATAAAAGTTTTTAAGTCCTGGAGGTATAATTGGTGTTCAGTTTCTGCGCTTTTGTCTTTTCCTTTGGCGCCCTTTCCGCCCAAAATTTTAGCGTTATAAAAGATAATTAATTCCTTGGCCTGAAAACCCATTTTCATCGGAAAACATTTTGACAAGCACGTTACCCATTTTGAAAAGATTCTGGGTAATGTGAGTGTTTGCTACTATTGTAGATTTATTTTGTAAACGGCTTTTTCTAAGAAATATTTTAAAACTGATAACCGAAGTCCGGATAAATTGTTTCCTGAACATTCGGCATTTTTAGAAAAAAAAAATCGTTTCTTCCTCAGAGCCAGACAAAAGCCTACTCAGAAAGACACTCTGGTTAATTTTGCTGGAAAGATTACCTTCCTGAAGAACTGTGTCTAAAGAATCTTTTCTGAAGGATCATTTAAGGAGATTTTATAAGGAAAAATGCTCTTCACGATGAGTCTGGCTAAAACGCTATAGCCATTTTTTTGTATCTTTCCATTGACTGAAGGGCGCTGGTTTTTTTGTGCTAAAATACAAATAATTTCCCTTCCTTTCAAACCTGGTACATATACAATTAATTGTAAATTGGATGTTTGTATCAACATGGCCTGAAGGTCACTAAGTTCAAAATGAATTAGTACCGTCCATGATTTACTGATGGGATAAACTCATAAGAGATGGCCTTCACTATTGACTTTGAACACATTGTTTGAACGTGAACTGAATTTCAGTTGGCAATAATCGGTTTACTACTAGTTAGCATCATAAAAGTTAACAGAAGTGTGCAAGTGTGCATGCTTGAAGGACTTCGACAAATAACCATTTCAGGTGGCATTTAATCTTGCAACGTAATAGTATTTGTCCTTAATTGAAAACTGAGTTCTTGACTTTAGTTTGCATGAAGATTGAACCATTTCCTACTATTCCATCTATTTCTGTCTTTATATTTTAATGATATCAGGTTTGAGACCTAAGCGGCTGCTCGGAGTTTGAGCAATTATGATGTAGCTCAGTCTGGTGATTAACTTCCGATCAATTTTAATAGGTTTATCGTGGAAATAATCGTTAGAATGACATATGCTGATTGGAATCTGATTTAAGGGATTCTTGGTTGTGCTTTGAGAGTACAAATTATACTTGATGGAAAATGCTTCTGATCAAAGGAACTCTACGACCCTTTTTCGTAATGTCCGACT